TTATATGGCAACATTATCAGAGTGCAACATTTTAAAGAAAGCCCACGCAATATGCTTTTGAAGATGGCGAGAAAAGAGCATGAAAACTTAACAGACATGGCGTAGGGCAGAATAAATGCAACATTATTTCGAGGATATAAAACGCTATATGCATGCAAATGGGATTTGAAAACTTATGTGAGTGGAGGTAAATGTAAGATCGGATACAGAACATCTTCTTTGGTCATGAAGCGAAGGCCTTTTTGCAAGTGAAAAGTGCCGCTGCGGCTGTCTTAATGCATTCCATTTTGTTATCATTTCAGAGCAGCTTGCTGTTGCTGGCGGCATACATACATACATATGTATTTAGTTAGCTTTTTCGCACTGCACGAATTGCTTATGAAAAGCTTTCTTTATAAAAGCTTCACTTTGGAAAGCTACATACATTATATGCAGCACATAAAATAGGTAGCGTAAATTTGTGCCGAGACAACGAACACAGGGCGTATGAGTGATAAAAAATGCATGTGTATGGAATCGATTGGGAGATTTTATTTACCTCGTAAATATATATAACGCTCCGGATAACACAAAACTCTTAGTGGGAAGAACAATTGGTTTCATAAAGGTTTCATAAGGCTCTTATTTTATAGTGGTGTTTCTTCTATTAAATGATTAGTGGAAATCCTTTACAAATTTAAACGATTCTATCTCTATCAATTTTCTTCATTCAGAGCGATTAGTAAACATGCAAATTATTTAGCAATTATTTAGCAACATGCAAATTTATATATGTAGTTCTATAAAATTTAATTTTAAGAGAAATTACGCATTCTCTTTTCGATGTAGGATTTGTCTTCTTTAAGATCATGATAAGAAAAAAACTTTGTATTTGGACTTATATGCCTCTAAAAATTTTTCTCTGTAGATTAGTAGTTCTTCCTCTTTTCTGAGTTGGATTCTTCTTCAAACGGATCGTGAAAACTCTCTATCCATTCCATTTCAGACTTTAATAGATATTCAAGGCTCTTCACGTAGTCCATTTTCGGCTCGAAAATTAATGATTTGAGCGTTTCCTCTATTCAATGAGAAAATACTATGTCTCACCAGTCACAAATTTAAATGTTTTTTAATATTTCTATAGAGATTATATAAACCTAATTTTTATTGAAAACGAAAGCATATAATTCATACTTTCCAACACCAAAACATAGCTAAAATTCGCAATTGATCACATTCTGGAATAAATTGTCCCACCTGTCACAATGGAATGGCCCAGTTGTACTATTTTTCAAAAATTGAAAAGAGGCAGATGATTTAATACTAAAAGAATTAAAGGAGCAAAGGTTAGGTTAATCCGGCTGGCGTTGAGCGGCACATACACCGCCAGTCCTTTGCATTGCCAGTTGGAGCTCGTTTTTACACGTTTAGAGTAGTCATCACAAAGGTTGTGAACGCTTTTTGCGAATTTCAGCTCCACTTTTGAGATGTCCTCTAACTTCTCGAATTGGTAGGCTCCCAAGCATTTTAGTCGTGTTTTTGACAGTGCCAGACATCGGCAGAGAAGATGCTTCAAAGTTTCCCTGGCCTCCTTCAAGGTACTTTCTGCGACTGTTCACGTATATGCCCCGTAAGCAATCCAGTAATAGCTCTGCAATATTACTTTGGAAGCTGTAACAGGAAGCATCAATAGTTGCTTCCGCCGCGTTCGCATATAATTTTTGCAGTTTTGCAGGTGGTTAACTCATTCCATATAGCCCTGAACTGCCTAATCATATTATCGTCTATTTCATTGAAGTTTTGAAGTGGTCTACGAATGTAGTTTGTCTGTTTGAGAGTCAGACTGGTGGCTTTCGCGACCGTTTCATCTGCTATTTCATTACCGGGCACCCAATACATATACAACCTTCGGGCGTCGGCTAGCCTTTCAATGGCATCCCGGCTGAGAAGGACGTTTATAGATAAAATACTGTATGAGGTAACTGCCGTAATTGCCGCCTGACAGTCTACGTAACTACGTTTTGTTTGATTGTTATTTCGGTGTAGGCTAGCTCTGATACTATCCTCATTGCGAAAACCTCTGCAATGGTCAGGTAATCTTACTGCCCGTCTGACGTTCAGTTCTCGGCATCTATGCCCATTACCATTTTAAAGCCGTCCGTGAAAATGTTTAGGGATCTACGGCTAGATTTCATTCCTTTGCGCCATCCCTCCTTCTCAATCGTTTTGCGAAACCTTCGTTCCCACTCAAAGCTAGATGCCATGTAGTCCGCGTTACCTGTGCTTCCCGCCCAAATTTTGAAATTGAATTCCCTTATGGCCGTAAATCTATCTGTGGATTTAGCAGAACGGTTTTCCGCGAATAGGTTAATGGGCGGGAAAATGGAGGATTTTTCAAGAGCAGCCGTTGGAGTGGACCTCAGCGCTCTCGTGATCTTCTCAATTCGTCCGAGGTATGAGGACTATTTGCGGCATTCCACCACACCAAAGCTCCATAGAGCAGTATTGGTCTGACTATTGCTGTGTAGCACCAATGCATCAGGGCAGGTCACAGATCCAAATGAACTCCTAGCATTATTTTACATGTACATATAAAGGGCGTTACTGGCCCTCTTCACCCTTTCCTCAACATTGCGCTTCGACAGCAGCTTACTATCCAAGACTACTCCCAACCAGTGATCGGACTTAAAAAATTCTGAGTGATAGAATCTGGAACAAAATGTGGTAGATTTTGAAAAAATGTGGTAGATCTCAGGTTTTGCATCAAACTCTGTACAAAAATTAAAGAAATTCTGTAAGGTTTCACCTAAATTGCAAACTCTAAAAAAAAAATTAATTTTAGTATAACAAAGTGCAAGATTGAAGTTGCTAAAAATTGCGTTGAATTTTGGCAATTACTTTCCTTAACAGTGTAAAGCATTTTTCGAACATAAATTTTTTTTGCAACCTTGCGGAGTGCTGCCAGCTTTTCTTTTTATCACATCACGATGTAGCGAATAAATGTGGCACGTTACAGAAACCGCTACTTGAGATTTGCCGATTTTGACAATACTCAAGTAAATGTAAACAACGCCTCAGAAATTTTAGATGCACTGAAATTTGCTAATACTTTCACAATAATCACCGTTTTTTTTAATTTTCGTTATTAATTCTTTTTAGAAATCATATGTTTTAAAATTTAACATAAGGAAACCACGTTCCTGTTGAAAAATGTATTATTCGGATTTGTTTACTTTTACTTGAGAAATTTCAGCGCCGCTGGGAATCATTCTTGTTACCATATAGTGTTTAGTGTTGGACAATTTTTGCTCTTAAAATTAAGAAAATTATGCCGAGCAAAAATAAAACTAGGTACTCAAAAACGCGAATATGTGGTAGATTTCCGACCTTGTGTGGTAGATGCTCAAAAAAGTGGCAGATCTACAACAATGTGGTAGAAGTCCGATCACTGCTCCCAACTACTCATTGACAACTCGATGCTCGCTGTCCTGTTTATTTAAGGTGTTCTTACACGATATGTATTTGCATCTGTAAATGTGACTTTTTCAATACATATGTAATTGCGTATGTCTGTCAAATTCACAGTCTTTATTTAACTACTTTAAAATACGATCTTTGAAAACGAAATAAACTAAACTCAGATGATTCTACCTGTGTGTCAGATGAAAATAGAAACATTTCTATTTCGTATGTACGTGCATCTGCTTTATACAGAAACAAATCTAATTTGCCTTTACACGATATGTTGGCATTTCTATATGTAAAAAGTGGCATGCACACATGCTAATACATATCGTGTAAGAACATCTTTAGCTTTAATAAATTTTTTTTTAAACTTCCCTTAATTTCCATTTTCCTCCTCATTAGAGAATTTTGTCTCTTTTGCTCATCTAGTTTTCATTACTCAGTATTTTTAATAGTTGATAAACTCATTAAAACAACAGGGAACGCTCATTGAGCAATAATTTTTTTTTAATGCTCCTACGCGCAGCTTGCTTGGTTTTTTCTTCTAGATTCGCTTTTTTTATCTACAGCCAATGTTGCCACATTCACAGTTTTAACTGTAAATTAAAGTTTTTTATACAAGCTTACAGTTGTTTAAATTAGCTCCTAGTACAAATTACAGTTTTTTCGAAATTTTCGATTTGAACGAATAACATAAAATTTATATTTTGGTTTTTTTGTAAGTCCACTTTTAAGACAAAAGTGGACGACGAAGAACGCGTTTTCTTATATGAAACAAATATTTTCAGCTGTCCTATGCATTCCAGTCGCCACAGAAAATGTGAAAAGAGTATTTTCCCAAATCAATTTGAATACAACAATAAATAAACTAAAAATTGCAGCTCTAATTTAAATGGTTTGTCGTGTTTGATTTTAAAAGAATCGTCGACTTAACAAAAAGGAGAAGGTTATCAATTCGTCGTAATATTTTATTTTTTATTTTGTTTTATATATATTACTGCGTAGCTTTGGACCACGATAACCGATTTCTCACATTTGGTCCCATACTAATTTGGTTTAGATCTGATCATTGGATCATGAAAAAATTAACGGAACTCCTAAACTTTTATATGAGAGTTGAAGTCGATTGTGTCTTTTGCCTAAAAATTAATTGTTTTATATATGTTTAATAAAATTAAAAAACTTTAATTTTTTTTAAATTCTTCGTTTTTGATGGTTACAGTTTTTTGGCTGAAAATACAGTTTTTTTTCCAATAAAAAAAAATAGACCCGGCAACATTGTCTACAGCCCCTTTATGAACTAAAAGTTTGGAATACAAAGCTTTGCGTTTTTTTTTCAAGTTGTATATTTTAAAAATATTGGTGATAAATATTTTTCGCATCACTCGGAGCGATGGGATTAAAAGCGATGCCATCAATTCGAATAAACTCTTTTACAAATACTTCTCATGCAAATTCATGAGTGAGCCAAAAATTAGAAGAGTTTATTGTGAAGAGAATGTAAATAATGCTAGCGCTCTTGGAAGGCTCTTAAAAAATATAAATTCTCAGACCGACCTTACTCTGCATGCCTCTATACAAAATACATAGAAAGCTTAAAAGAGCTTTGCCTGCGGGCAAGGCGATGTCCATCTCCGGTTTACGAACCATTAAAATTTTGAAATTGGTCAACTGGAAAAAATTTTGGGATCCTCTGATTTAAGTGCTATCTTCATTGGATAATAAGTTTGCTATGCATGATTTGTATTTATATCTTGGATGTTTTATTTAAAGTTTTATTTCATCTATGATGTGTATAATATTTCAAGCTATTTACGCGCTAATATAATAATTTTACCAACATTTTTCCATACAAAAAAGTCTCTGGGTTTAACAAAAAGTAAAATAGAATGAAAACTAAAGCACATTTGCAAACAGGTTTCTTAATAATATACAAAGTTACATATATATGTAAGTTAATTACTTGTAAGTAATTTATATTTAATTACAAGTTGAATATGCGTAAAAATTCTATATTTTTTAAACATGTACATACATACATATGTATGTACACATGTCTTTGTAGCTTTCTATAAATTCAAGACTCTCTAAATAATATCAATTTTATTATAGAAAACACATTAAACGTACGATTTCAAATAAACTGAAATCGGCGCGTGAAATGCCCTTGGAACTGTCTTGAAGACTCTCTACTACTTACAAATACATAAACATAGATACATTTTACATACATATATTAATTACAGAGTACGTCTTATAGCTACTGGCTGGCTGTTGCCTCAGCCCTGCTTAGCGTATCAGATGCAGCTTCCAGCGCAGCACAAAGTACGCAATAATGCGCAGCGCAATGAATGTACCCAGCAAGGCTACCGCATCAATCCAGTACTCGGCCTGATCCATAGACATCTCTTCCAAGAACTTCTTTGGACTACGGAAGTGACAATACATTTCATGACACTCCAATTTGGCACGATCCATGCCGTATATTGATACCATGGCGCCTATTTCGGATGCGTGTGTGGAAGAATAAGTGGAAATAATTTAGAAAAAATGCTATCTTAGGCATATAAAGTACGTTTGATTACCCTCAAATCCATAGCGCACATAACTGACGTAGGTTACCCACTGCAGATAGCCTGGTATAGTGTCGAAGTTAACAAAGAAGCCTGAGAATAGTATGGTTGGTATTGTAGTTACGGGCCCCAGGAAAACACCCGCTTCGATATTCATGCCAGCACCAATGAGCAAGCCCAGCGATTGCGCCACCAACGATGTGAGCACACAAATGAAGACAAACATTGAGATGCGTAACCATTCCATAGGTTGCGAGGTCAAATAGTAGACAACAATCACATAGACACTGGAGAAGAAGATCTGCGGGAAGGTGGAAAAGATCGAATGTCAAATATTTGATATTTTTAGTAATTTTTGTATGCTTGTGTTTGAGGTGACCAGATGTTTTCTATCAACTTCTTATTTGAATTTGAATTAACATGACAAATCTCTCAGCACATAATTTGGTTATATTATTTAGTTAATGTTACCAAATCCTGTGCTGAGAAAAATATTTTTAGATGACTTTTTTCTGTGTGTAGCTAGAACGAGATAGGTACATATGCCTGGAAAATTGTAATCTTCTTGATTTTCTCCATTTTCTTGGTAGTACTAAGTAAGGATCTTTGTTTGATCTTAGCGGTAAACCAAGCTAACCTAATGTGAGGTGACCATTAAGAGAAAATTGAAGTGGAGTGCGAAATCAAGAGTTTTTGAATTCAAACTCTGTCCTTTTAAAGACTGTAAAGATTCGTTCGATATTTTTTTTTAGTTTTTGACGTAGAATACGTCTTACCTTAAGGTATGGGGGCTATGTTCAAATGTTGTAGTTGTAATTTTTAGAGCTTCACAAAAACGCTTATTGCACGAGAACTAATAAAGCGATTTCAAAGAAAAGTGTGGCGTTTCAAAGATAAAATTCCAAACCTGTCGACAGATTCATTTTTGTAAATAACCAATTCGGTTTCTGTCGTAAAGACAACGGTAAACATTGCCTTATTTTGGGGTCAATTTTGAGCCTTTAAAGTGCTCTAGCAACTTATTGTTGGCATATATAACTTTCATTTTCGGGATATAGGTTCTTTGGAGCAGTAGAAATATTATCGGGTACAAATTTTATATAAATTTAACAAATATTGAGCATTTTAAGGCAAAAAATTGTTGAAAAAATTTGCAAATTTTTTTCATTACCAAAATGCTCGAAAACCGCTCGAATGATTTTGTTTTTGTTTTCTTTAATCAAAAATTCAAGAGTTTTCCTTTCGTTTGGTATATGGGAAGTATTGGCTGATATCTTCTATATATGTTTATTTTATTCAAATATATGGGCATAAATGATTTTCCATACAAAATCACCTCGTCATCATTTTGCAAACACGTGCATATGTTGGAAGTGTGGGAAGGAGACAAAAAGTATGTATGCGTATGTAATGCGGCTTTTGATCGCAGCGTATGTACATATGTAAATGCATATATACGTACATATGAAAGTTTCAGTTAATGTGGATCTGTTTGGTTTTGTTATCGATATTTTTATCGATTTTGTTGCCGATATTTTAATCGATTTTGCCATCGATATTTTTATCGGTTTTGTTACCGATATTTTCACCGATTTTGTTATCGAAATTTGTATCGATGTTGTTATTGATTTTGCTATCGATATTTTCGGAACTTATCGATATAATGATCGATATTTTTATCGATTTTGTTATCGATTTTGTAATCGATTCTGTTATTGATTTTATTGTTGATTATTTATCGGTTTTGTTATCGAAATTTTTCTTGATTGTTTTAACAATTTTGCTATCGATATTGTTATCGCTTTTGTTATCGATATTTTTGTCGCTTTTGTCATCAATATTTTTATCGATTTTTCTATAGATATTGTTATCGCTTTTGTTGTCGGTATTTTTATCGGTTTTTTTACCGATTTTGCTATCGATATTGCCATCGCTTTTGTTATCGATAGTTTTATCGATTTTTTTATCGAATTTATTACCGATTTTGTAATGGATTTTTTGATAGATTTTGTTATCAATTTTGTTATTGACTTTGGAATCGATTTTGTTATCGATTTTGTAATCGATTTTTCGATAGATTTTGTAATCGATTTTTTATCGATTTTGTAATCGATTTAGTTAACGATTTTGTTATCGATATTTTTATCGATTTTGTTATCGATTTTATTATCGCTTTTTTTATCGATATTTTTTTCTTAGTTTGTGCTTTCGTTTTTGACTTGGATATGCTCTTAACCATACCACGTATTCTACGTTTAAATTTAGCGGGTGTATCTCCGATACAGCCTGCAGACCAAGACGAAGGCGCTGGACTGTTCCTTTTTTTTTGGTTTTTTCGATCTTTCGGATAGTTATCGATGCTAATTTTTTATTTGATTAAAAATGTTTTCGAGAAAATTCGAAAAAATAATCATGTTTGATTATACGATATCATTTTTTTTTTGAAAAAGTCATTGCTTTGAATAATTGAAAATTCTAATTTTTCATTTGATTTTTTCGATCTCTAGGTTTATTATTTGCAATTTCTAAAACTATTTAACGATAATATTTTTTATTCGATTAAAATTCAGTATTTAGAATTCAGATTCACAAAAAAAGTTTTGTTTCAAATTGAAATAAAAAAATTCAGTTGGAATTTGTTACCTATTTTGGATTGCTTATTTAAAATTTAGTCAGATTCACAAGACAAGTTTTTTCGTTTTAAATAATTGAAATAAAAAATTTCAGTTGGAATTCGTTACCTATTTTGGATTGTTTATTTAAAATTTTGTCGATAACACTTTTCATTCGATTAACAATATTCTCGATTAAATTGGTTTTTCGTATCCTGTATTTAACATTCAATATTCAGAAGTGTAGAGTTTTAATTTTTTCGAACTTTTGGAATTTCAATTGAAATTTTTTCGATAACTCTTTATCGATAATAAATTTTTATTCGACAAAAAATATTCTCGATTAAATTCAATAACCGGATTTGTGATTCAATACATTTAATTTTTTTAATATATACGTATACATATAATATTTAAATTTTTTATTAGAATAAACACAAGACAATTAAAAAACATTTCGACAGTGAAATGTTTATTTAGACAATTATTTATTCAAACCATTAAATTTTTTGATTTTACGAATTTTTATAGCAAATAAAATGGTTATAAGAACAAACATTTTGTGGAAAAAATATTTATGTCAAAAGAGAGTTTGTTTAAATTTCTTGAAAAGTTAAAAGCTTCGAAATTTTGCAAATTTTCGATCTGACTGCCACATTTAATTCAAGTTTTATCGATATGTTTATTTATATATATATATATCTTTTCCGAAAAAAATCGTAGTAATCGATTGCTTCTTTCAGGTATCGATTTTTAGTCATAAACAATCAAACATTTTGGTGTCTCAATAAATGTGTGTTGAAACCAGAATATGGGATTTATCCTTAATATTAAAGCCCCTTATCATTTTGTAATAGCACTTAACATTCTTATCACTATAGGCTTCATCGATACCGTTTCTACATCGGAATTTATATAATACTAATATTATTTTCGATATTTTTAGTTATCCTTGTTCAGCCTTTAAATTTTTCTTCATATTCGTGTTTTCACGAATATTTTATTTTATTTCCACACCTGGTCACTTTAAAAAATAGAAATCAACATGCACCGCATTTCATACCTGAAAGGGTAGATCAGCCATTGTCTTAGCAAAGTAGAACGCCTTCAGCGAGTACCAGTAATTTAGATGCTCCCGCACAAACACCGACATCTCAGTGGGAACTGAAAAAAAAAAACCAAACAAAAACAGTTCAATTAAAACTACGCCCTTTCCCTTAGACCTTAGTCTAACCGAATTTCATTCACTTACAAGTCAATATCGTCGGCATCATCGCTGTAAACATTGTGAATAGTGTTGTGAAGAAAATACATCCGGCATTGCTCATCACCTTCGACGCTTCATTGCCCACATCATAGTAAATCATGCCAATGATGGCGCCCACAATAACGTGCGAGGCTAAACGCATATGCGTCAACATGCGATCGCGCATAATCGTCACAAAGGAACGCTTTAACAGTATCCAGAATTGTGTCCAGCCGCTGGTGGGGAAGCCAGAGCTGTTGGGCAGCGTAACGACACTCTCGTGCGAATCCAGCAACGAAGTGGTGCAGCCGGCGGCTGCAGCTTTCTCGGCGGCTGCAGTGAGGGCATTTTGTCCACCCTTCGAGTTCAGACTGCAGCTATCTTCATGAACATTGTAGATCAGTCCAGTACTGGAATTTCCATTGCCATTATTACTGCTTGGAATGTTTAAATTTATAACGGTACAGTCTGATTGCTGTGACTGTTGTGACTGTAACATGGCTGTAGTCGATTCATTCGAATCCGATTTGGCCACCAAGCCTATGGCCGATGCATCCATTTGGAATTTCTCATCTGTATGTGTGAGTGTTGTGGTCGCCGTGAGCGACGTTGTTGTTGCACTATTAACATTCTTGCAACCATTATCGGCACCATCGCCTTTGGCAATATCATTCGCAATGCAGCGTACACCCGTCATATTCAATCCATAGTCCTTTTGGCTGTATTTCTTGCACTTGCCATCCTTGACCGCCGCCACCAGCTTTTGCACAGCTTCGCCATACTCGCCGCAGGCTACCTCCAGCACATAGTCGGCCGGATTGTGATATGAAGGGCAGTCGTAGCCGAGCGACGAGAGAAATGGCACCAGACCTCGCACGCGTCCTTGGTACATGCACTGGCCCTCGGCGAGCATGTACAAGTGATCAAATTTTTCAAAGAGACGCGCCGACGGCTGGTGAATAGTGCAAACGATAGTGCGGCCGCCACGAGCCAAAGACTTGAGCAAAGAAATCAGCTGGAAGCAGGTTGAACTATCCAAACCGGATGTGGGTTCGTCAAAGAACATCACTGGCGGATTGTTGACCAACTCGAGTGCAATGGAGAGACGTTTACGTTGTCCACCCGAAAGATTGTAGGTCTTCGTGTTGCAGGATTCCATGAGACCAATTGTTTCAAGTATCTCATCAACTACGACTCTCTTGGCAGCCAAATTCATATCTTTACCCAGTTTCAGATTGGCTGAGATCATCATGGATTCACGTACCGTGAGATTCGCAATCAGTATGTCGTCTTGCATGATGTAGCAAGAAAGTTTGCGGAAGCGACGCAGATTGCGCTCTTTGCCATTAATCAGAACCGAACCACTCAACTGGGATGTTCTGAAAAGAAAGATAAGAAGTATGAGTAAGATGTACAGACTCAAAATTTAAATAAAATTACTTATGTACTTAAATTATAATATATAACTGTGTATGTAAAGTAACTAGAATTGCCCGCAGTAGCAAACCATATAGAGCTCGACTCCAGATCTATTGCTTAATGTCGGGTGTGAACTCATTTTCCGAATAATGCATCATTCTCTTAAAAGTCTGTCACTACCACCATTAAATTCCTGCAGTATTTGTATGCTATCTCCTCGAATGTAGCAATGCAATGTGCACAAGAAGACTCAGAACGAGTTCGATGTGAAAAGTGAGGAATGTGTTCCCGATACTAGTTATAACCCTGGTGACGGGGCGACAGATCGGCAGTCAAGCTCAACTAACAGGAGACCCAGGAAGTGTGCATCTCCGACTGGGTTAGTCCATAGGGTGAGTTGCGTGAGATTCATTGCTTGGTTACCCTGTCTCAATGGTTCCCTTCTCCCTGAATTCAATGGCTTGTAATTACAGTAAAAGCTCATATTTGGTAATTTTAGTAGAAGTCAATTAAAAAATAACTCTTTTTTTATTTGCTATTTTGTGAATTTTTCGCAGGTATTGCATTTGGCGCTCTGAGCCACGATAAGAAATGATAAGGGGTCTTATTTTTTACAAGCTCCACTTGAAACTTCACAATTGGCTCAGAACCCAATGACAGTAAAATGCGTTTATTCTTTCTTTATTGTTCCTTCCTTAGTAGGTCTAAGGATCTTGCCTAATAGGGACGTAAGGCAAATGGCTTTTGGGCTTGCTGCAGGGATGGTATTTACTCTTCACCGATTCCATAAGACGACATGGAGTGGATGACACAATCATAAGGTGGATCCATTTCGTGTTATATAGAAGGTTGCGGACTGTGGCAGAGGAAGATGGATGGCCCTAGTACTATGGCAAAGGTTATGCCATCAGGGTGGTGTACTCTATACTATTTTATATTGTTTGGTAGCGAACTCCCTTTCAAGGGAAATGCAAGACTTCCATCTCATTCTAGCTAACGCGGATTATCTGTGCGCACTAGCGACAATAATATCTCTCACGAATGTCTGTTTAAAGAGATCTGACTGAAAAGGTGTGCGTAAAGATACAGAGGATTCTGAAAAGGATTGGTAAATGGTGCATTTTGCAAAGGATTTATATCAGCCCCAACAATGCAAAATCTGGCATTGTTTAAGACTTGGGTTCAGAGATCGGCCGATTATCGCACATTTTGCTTCAGCATGGTGGCGTGGAACCGTCGTCAAAAGATACCCAAAAGAATTTTTATATTAAAAGGGCTACACAGGAGTACATGTATGCTGGATTCCCTACACCTGGCGGTGCAATAGGAAGAGATAAAGATTGCATTTTCTTATTACAGCATTACATTCGGAGTTTCGGACCCACATAGTTGTTTGGAAAGTTGTCAGAGCGAAACCCTTTTAATGGCTTCCAAATGACCAAATGGTGTCTGTAGTATATTTAAGAAGAAAGTACGTCGAAAGGTGTCTACAAAGAAAAATTTTCTATAGTGACGGCTCCATGAATGAAAATGGTATTGGAGCTGGATGGCATCAGGACAGTAACTTAAGATGCTTTACTATTTTAGGTGAAATGGCAACGGTATTCATATCGGAAGTCTTAGCAATACTGAAAGTAGCTGACAGGATAATTGTAGAAAGGTGGTGTGGACATAAAATCAGAGTCTACAGTGACAGCTAAACTGATTTAAAAGCCTTGAAAACCACTCAAACCTCTTAAGAATAATCTAGGAATGTAAATTGACGATGACCTCCGTTGCTAAGCAAAGCCAGAGACCTGTCAGGTACACTTGGAATCTTATGACAAAGGAAAATTGCTGTTATACTGACAAGTGAGAGATTATCAATTCTTTCTTGAAACGGTCAGACATACGATGGCGAAATCCCTTTTTAGAAAAAAAAGGAGTGAACTACGAACGCTAATAGTTCTGACTGCGGGACACGGAATCATCGGCGATGCACTGTGTGCATCCTGCTTTGACGATAAGGACTGTTCAGAGCATTTTCTCTATAGCTGTTTGTCCTCCGACAGCCTGATATGGCGAATTTTTGGCTCCAAGTATTTTTGACTCGAAGTGTTTCTCTCGCCAAAAAAGTCTCGTAAGCAGGGGAGTAATGATTTCCCACATCCATTGGTGTTCGCATATCTTTTTAATCGTTTTATTGACTTTAAATCTATGCGAACATTTCCTTTGTGCGGGAAAAATTTCGGAGAGAAGAACAATTGAGAACCACACCCTTTTTATTTAGGATAGATCCGTGGAATCTGCCTTGCACACAATTTCTTCCAAGGCCACTCTTAGGAACAAAGATTTTGCAATTGGTGCCTTCCTTGATATCGAGGGGTCTTTCAACAATATGCTACCCGGCGCGATAGTAGTAGAGCCCTGACAAAGCTCCGTGTCGAAAACTACCTTGTTAGGCTCATCTCCTGTATGCTGCACGACAGAACAGTCACAGCGGAGTAGGGAATTGTCTCTGACCAGCGAAAAGTGAGTAGAGACACCCCTACTAGCCTTTCCCCCTTTCCTTCGCGAAAAAAAAATCTTGGAGGAGTTAGAAAAGTAAGGATGCGAGGCTATTGCCTACGCGTTAGATGTAGCACTAATTGTCAGAAGAAAATTCTCTGAAACTCCGTATGATCTTTTGTAGGGGTACTTAAACTTGGTCACAAATTGGACCGCTAGCTGCGGCCTTGTAATAAATCTTGGAAAGACGGAGCTCGTACTATTAACCAGGAGGTACAAAGTGCCTCATGCCCGGCTTCCTTCAATCGGGGGTCTTCCACATATTCTCTTTGACTGGTCAAGTTATTTGGCGTTATCCTGGACGGGAGGTATCGTGGAAGTCAAAAAGTGAGCAGCGAGTAACAAATGCAACGGTGACTCCGTACTATAGTAAAAATTCCATGGGGAATATCGCGGTATGAAACCATAATCAAGCCAATCTGTTATATGGGGTCATTGTCTGGTGAAATTCACTGCAAAAGTCTGGCCGGACATGGCCCTTTAGCAACCCACGCGGCGCGACTTACCATCGTCACGTATACCTACTGCCGCAGCTGTTTGGAAGACGAGGTAGAATCATCTCAGCCTTACTTCTCAGCTGCCCGGCATTCGCTAGACTAAGGACTAAGAACCTCGGCGCAATCTTATGAAAATATTTTGATAAGTAGCAGAGTCACTTGTGAGCTTTAGTAGCTTTAAATTTTAGATGCCAAAAAATGGATGCATACGCTTCGTATTTCTAAAGCACCATAGTGAAAATCTACTCACACAATAGAGAATTTGCCGAAATTTCGCTCATTAGGTAGGTGGATCATGGCGCTTATTAAGATGTCGACTTATTACTTAAATGAATGAATGAATCTCGAAATTGTCAATAAATCACTTGGCATACAAAGCAAGTAAACATAAAAGGCAACAATGGATTTGAATAGCTTTGTCTCCACTCAAAATGAACCTAATATTGCGACAAGTGCCATTCATGCACAAACACTTGTGTACGACGACGTATCAAAAGGATACGATGTAGAGGCTACGGATTAATATTGGCATACATTTTTATACTTATGTACGTACGTATTTTCACGTACTGCACGATACTAAACAGCAATGGAAACAAATCAGAAAATATTCGAAGAATGTCAAATGCGAAATAGAGCAGCTAAATGAGCGATAAATAGCGGCAATATAATAATGTGAGTTGTGGTGTGAAGGAATTAAACAAGTGTCGAAGGCACGCGGCAACTTGAATTTGGGCTAAGGAAAATAAAAGAAAAGAAAAAAGTAAAGAAAATAATAATCGAATTTTGAGCTTTATGCTGACGAATTAAGAAGAGGAAGCCATAAAAATAGAAAGTAACTAATAATACTACAGGCCGGCCACCCTATCGTCCTGGCGTATTGTGAATGCAGGATTCCCGCATATTTGCGGCTGGTGGCTTAAGTCTTCATAATTACTTGCGGCTTATTGGATTTGGTAAACTTTAACACAAGTATTCTTAAAGCTGCTGACTTGGACATTGGGACATTCTCTTTCTCAAAATTCTCCTCTGAAAGTTCTTAAAACTTGTTTAGCTTTCCTGTGCCTTGTTTTACTGTAGTTACATACATACCTTTAAAAAGACTATACATAATAATCTACTACTCATACTTACTTGTAGCCAGCTAAAATGTTCATAAGTGTACTCTTCCCCGCTCCGGACGGTCCCATAATGGCAGTAAGTTCGCCATTGCGAAACTTGCCCGAAACACTTTTGAGTATAGTCTTTAAGCCACGCCTTCGTCCTTCTGATACTGAATAGGATATTTCAGTGAATTCAATATCGACAGGTGGTCGCTGTGGCAGATGTGACAGCGTAACGGTGCCCTTCTTCTGGCCATTTGGACTGCAATTATTTTTTATTTTCGATGCGAGTATATGATTCTGACTGGGAATGCCACCATTGCAAAGATTGCTTTGTGAGCTGGAAAATAGAAAAGTAAAACAGAAATTATGGGATTAGTGATATAATTTTATGTGTATAAAATAATTGTTGTATGAAGAAAAGATTGCGAAAAAATTCCAACCCCTATTTTTTAACGTTTTAATAATTCTGAAATCATTGAATCGGCGATCGTTACACGGGAGAATGTCATAACACAAAAAAATAAAAAAATGTTAAATGCAATGTTTTTAATTAAGAAAATTTGTCTGTTGAAACGCTCTTTCAAGGCCTCAGCAAACTATAACCCATCGTTCGTATTCGAACGCGGTACTCAAACTCCAATAAGTTTTTGTTTAAAGAAATTTAAAGTTTCAACTTTTTATGAAAAATTAAGGTATTAAACTTAAGCACTTAATCTGCAGAAGATTTTCATATTCCGTGACTCGTAGTAAAATTGATTGGATAATAATTTTGCAGCCTTCTATAAACTGAAGTGACAACGATCCTGTTTCCATTATATGGACTAAGATTTTATGCCACGTTTGGCATTTATCGAATCCTGAATTGGCGGTGGCGGTATTCTCTCACCTATGTTCTGAGGCAGGCCTCAGAGTAATTTTAGCGGCAGAGATCGTTGAAACTGAGTCCAAAAACTGGTTCCTTCTTGGGAAGATTCCTCTCGGTTGGTGGCGAAATCTTCTCTCCTCTCAAAATAGGAGAGAGTCGGACGAAGAACTCACGGTTCAGGGCTGGAGTTGCCTCAAAGCTGTTCATTGAAGTCACAAGACAGATCGACTACGTTGTCCTAGGTGTCAGGGAGCGCGGTAAAACCCCATCTTCCAAAAGCAGTGACGGTTAAAGAAATTTGGTTGGAAGATAAGCTTGAAGTCGTGAAGAGGGACCTTTCCTGTCGAAGATGTTTTCTAAGACGAAACTAAGGAAATCCTCAGAAACTACATTCCTAACCTTCCGGTGTTCGAATGAATGGCTAATGGGCGCGAGAAGATGATCCCTATAGATTAGCATAGATAATCCTCAATGCAGTCTCTCGGTGCTATCGCTGATGCCTAGGGGGTAATAAATTATGGGTTCAAAAAGGTAGTACTTAAGGTCTAACAAGACGGTGCCAGATGGGGTAAACCGGAGAGGGAGGGAGTATATAAGGCGCGCCTTAAAACTATAGGGGTGGATTCAAACTCGATCCTTGTGGAAGCCAAGAGTACTGGTGGCAAAAGACAATCAGTTTGGAGAGCGTGGCCTGAAAACTATGGCTGATATCCGCCTTCAATGATCATTATGGTGAGGTAAAGTTTCATCTGAGGCTAGGCTCAGAAAGATCAGCTTCGCGATTGGGCAAAATTAAAACTCGCAGCACAGTTTCTGCGCTAGTTATGAAAGTTAAGTCACATCTTGGTTTTATTAAAAGCAAAGATATCCCCATCAGAGCTTGGTTCTGGTTCTTTTCTCGTTTTCGGATCACATTCAATTCTTTCTCGAAGAAGCTCGTCCAACAACTGGTGTATCGACTGCCGAGATCTGCGTGCAGTTTTCCCACTGCCACTTGACGAGGATCTGACTCTATCCGAAAGCTCGGAAGATGAACCTCTCTAGGCTTTCATTACTGCTAGGAAACTCTGGAAACTCCATGTTTCGTCAGATCATTGATGTCCTTTGGTGGACATCCGAGCTCTCTGATGTTATGCCGTCGAGCACGTGACTCTACGTTACTCTGTAGTTGGGAAATTTAAAAAGCATAAATTGGAAACTGCTCCTTTGGGATATTTGAGGAAAGAGGCGCGAAATTGGGCAATGAGTTGCGCGGAATCCCTCAAACTACTCCTCGATGCTCACTTTCCAAGCGACCCAGTCCCAAGAGGCACCTACCATCTGGGGAAAGTAGATTTCGAGCGAATCAGCAAGACCTGATGGCATTATACCCGTCCAGTTGCAAAAGACCTTGGCGGTGGCCCGGAGCATGGAAAGTGGTCAGGGTAACATTGATTCTAAATGCTGGGAAAAGCTCCTACATTTTTTCCAGTGATTTCAAACCATCCTTCGTAATTCCCAACATCGCTTTTGGAGAGGATGATTGATCTACTTATTAGAAACAGGATTACTTATGCCCGCTTGTTGGGAGTTCAACATGCACACATTAATGCAGAGTCCGTCGAGGTCGGCCTGCATGCGATCGTAAAGTCGATACAGAAAGCCGCAGCACATAAATAATTTACTGTAGGTGCGTTTCGCGACATCCAAGGGACTTTTGATAAGCATATGTTTTTTCCTCAAGATCCGAGCTTATAACTATCTGAACTTATAGGCATCATATAAGCTTCCTTTTAATCTTGTTTTGAAGAATGATCAATTTCGAAGTACCTTTTTTTAAGTTTTTTATATAATCTGCTTATTATTTTGATTCACTTGAATAGCCATAGCAACGTAGAAAAACAGTATGGGCATCAAATTTAATAGAAAATTCTTTAGAATTAAAGCAGATTAAATTTTTTGGTACATAAGGACGAGTAGGTATTGAAAATGTTCTTTTGAAATTTTATCCTTGAATATCATTGAAATTTTGCAATACTTATTTTTGAAAAAGCTATATGTTAAGATTTAATATACACTCGACCAAATTCTCAAATTTCGTCCTTATAACTTTATAAGCTTAAAAAAATAAGATTAATTAAAAGTACATTTTCAGAATGTATTCATCCTTGTGAACTGAAAGCTTTGGTATCCAAATTATTATTCTACATTGTACTAAATTTTTTAAAATAATTTTTGGAATTAGTCCTATATTTGAAACCACAAAGTCCTATAAAGAGAGAAAAACTAAAGCGGAGTTTTACTATAGAAATTATATTTTAACTGTTAAATTTTGATTTTGATTGTAAAGATCCTAACGGTTACGGTCCCTGAACGAAAGTGTTGGTCAATAACTTCAAGATGCATATTGTGGTTTAATGTTACTACAACGATGTTTTTGAGTTAAAAACTAGAATGAAAAAAACTGAAAAAACTCTCACTAAAATATTGACTGATTTTTTATGTGATGGAACTATGTAGTTAATATTTTTTGGTTTTACTTTTTGATGATTTTGAACTTATTAATGTATAATGGGCGACAAAATTCTACGTACAGAGATTTTTTTGCAATTCATGCAAAGTTTTTTATGCTAATTTTTAATTAGGTTTCCATTAGTGCTACCAAACTGCATACTTGAAATCGTTCTAGAAAACCAATTTAAAAAATTGCAAATCTTTATGGAAATTTATTGAATTTTCCTGAGGTATGCACAAAGTTTAGAAGTTTTATTTTTATGATTTTTGCAGTAGTATGAACTATAATTTTATAAAACATCAGCGAAAAAAATTAGCATAAAAACTTTGCATTCATTGCGGAAAATCCTCTGTACGTAGACTTTTTTCGCCCACTGTAAATGTATTTTTTGCCTATTTTTCAAATTTTGTTGCCTCTTTTAGTATTTAATGTGGCTTTTCCTGTCTGTTTCGATATGTTTTTTTACGTTTATTAAGGTTTTAGGTCCTAAAAATCCTGTTTACTCATATGACTATAAAAAAAAAATGCAATAAAAATTTAAAACATACTTTTCTTTTGGAATTTTCTGTCCACCACTTAATAGTAACTTCAAAACCCCACCACATTAGTTATGTATGTATGTATGTATATATACATATTAAATCAAACTTTAAAACCCTTTCTATGCCTACTTCATTGGTTTCAGCCAGGCCGCCATTGTTGCAGCAAATTCCTGCCGCAATTGACCTGAATTTAGCGGTTGCCGTTGCCGTTGCTGCTGCTGCTGCTGCTGCTGTAAAGCACTGATACAGCCATTCTTGGTGAGTTTCGTTTGCACAAAACAGGATACTGGTCGCGCGCGACGTACATTCACATTACTACTGCCATCGTGCAACATATCCACGTAGGCTTCCACATACTCAGAGTGACGACGCTGTACCGCAAAATTGTCCACGAAGCCTGTGTTGCGTATGCCACCGTCTGCATCGACAAAAATTCGCACTGCGCCTGCAGCTGAAGGCGCATTGTTCGAGGAGGGAACAGCTGTGCCTTTAGCACTGCCATTTCGCTGGCAGTTTAGGACGAGTTGACTGCCACTGTCGGTGCTGCTGCAACGCGTTAGCAGCTGCGGTTGTGAGGTTGTTAAATTATCTAAAATACTGCAATCGGATGTGTGCGACATGTTGAATGGTGTATGAAATTCGATTTTGTTTTTTGTTGTATTCGATTTCGTTGTACACAGAAATAAAATCAAATTTTCACATTTTGTGCGCGATGTTGCAGGAATTGCACTGTTGCATTGTACGCAAGGAGGTGTGAAGGATATTTTTTTATTATTTTCTATTCACAAAGAAGATATTTTTACATTCATCTTTATGTTAAGTAGTTTTTAGTTTATTTTGTTGTGAAAAAAGTTTAATTTTTTTTTACTTTTAAGGACAAATTTTGTTTTTTTTGCACTATTTCTCAGTTTAAGACTTTTCATTTAAGGATAATTTTTAACACTATATTTTAAGGAAATTGAAATGTTTAAGCCTTTATGATATTTATTTCGCCGCTCGTTTAGAACGTTCAACCTGCGCCCATCAGCAAACACTGAACTCTGTTCGCTATCTCAACTATGTTTACACTTAAACTTTTACTCTTCTTCTTATTCTCCTTATTCGTTTTCTTCTTTGGCTGCCAAGTCCATTGCTTTGCCCGTTTCGAGCTTGCCTACAGCCCTGGCTTGGTCGAGCGTGGAATGTATGAGTGAACGCCTGAAAGAATGTCTTCTCCTCTCAGCCCGTTTGAACAAGTGCAGTTTCTTGATTATGTTCTTGTGTATATGTGTGTGGCGTTGTATCGGCTGTACGACATAGTGCATAACTAGTGCTAGTGACTTTGAATGGGCCGCGTAATGATACGCTGCACAGTGGGCGCGTTTCATACAACAGTTGGCCATAAATGGTAAACATGGACCTACAATGTCAGATATATAAGCTTCTTCGATGGATATAAGTAAATATTGCTGAAATAATCATTAATCGGTATACAAATACGCCCACGCTTTATATAACTGAAACGTTCAAATTGCAATATTTGCAAAACTAATGAATTTAGAATACTCTAACTCGATATATCAAGAGGTATATGAAGTAAAATATTTGAAGTAAAAATGGAGCTCACAGTTTTATAAGTATGTATTTATATCTTTAATTAATAATACATCTGACTGCTTCATTAAATGCAAATTTCTTCTATGTGCGAATGACTTGAAAGTCTACACCACTATTTTCAGACCTTCAGAACACATCAAGTTAGTCAGATTTCAATAATGTTATAGCATGGTGGCGGAAAAATCAATTGCGACTAAATATAAGTAAATGGTTTCATCTATCCTTTTTAAGTCTCATTCCCTAATCCCTATTTCTTACATTGGTGGTTCTTGGTTAACCACTCTAAACTCTGTTTCATAGTCACATTAATAGGACCATCGCAAAAGACTATTCAAGGCTTGCCATCATTCGTCGGTTTAGTTCAGATTTCACTGATTCATACACACTAAAATTATTATATACTTCTCTTGTACGGTTTAAACTGGAATATGCTGTATTTATATGGCGGCCATATTACGATTGTCATACCAAAAGACTTGAACACATTCAAAGTTCTTTCGTACAGTTAACCTGAAATTTTTACATAATACAAGGATTGAACTCTCTCTCTTCCTCATATTCGACATCAAAAGTGGTGGGATTGACTCTACATAGAATCCTTCGGAATCAAGCCACTTTGAAAGAATTCAATTCGCGCTCAAATTTTCTAGCCACTGATTTCGCTTCTTCTAAGTATAATTTTAAAGTAGGATTAAATTAATTTTTTAAATAATGTATACAGTATCGGTCATGTCTATAGCACGCCGTTTCAAAGTGATATTGTGTGCCACTTATGTTTATTTATTTATTTTTAAGAATTTTCAATTAAAA